AGCTGGAACTTCTGATGTAATTTTACTTTTCTTTCTTTTGATTCATTCGAGTCTGTAATAATTTGTAATAACTATTGGGGAAGGATTAGTGGAAAGGGATGGCGATGAATGTATGAAAAAGGGTAGAAAACATGCCTATAGGTTATTTATTTCTACATTCTCATCTTAGAAAACATGTCTATAGGTTATTTATTTCTGCATTCTCCTCTTAGAAAACATGCCTATAGGTTATTTATTTCTGCATTCTCATCTTAGAAAATATGCCTATAGGTTACCTATAAACTTCTGCATTCTCATCTTAGATAACTTGCCTATAGGATTTTTAATTCATGCGTTCACATAGAAAGCATTCCTATAGGCCATTTATTTCTGCATCTCTGCATATAGAAATCATGATCATAGGTTTCTTTTCTGCACTTCTGCATATACCTGTCATTAGGCAAACAATCATAGGTCTAATAATAATCAACTTCATTCTAGATACCATGCCTATAGGACTCTTGCATCTATGTAATCGTTTGAAACCAATAACGTTTAGATAACTTGCCTATAGGAATAATCAATCGAATCAGCCTCGTCTATTTTATCTATACGTTTAAAACCAGTCACAAGTTCGTTTAAAATCTGCAGATCTTTTGTTTATAGCACTAGTGACCCCTTTCTGTAAAATCAGTACGCTCTGTTAGATACCATGCCTATAGGTCTCACTTAGGCAAATCATTAGGTAATTAATTAACTGTGTCAGCTTTGATAACTACAACCAGACAAGGCTAATTCGGACTCCTCATTTGAGAAATATGTGATAAATCAGCCTGTCCTAACGCTTTTAAATTTAATTCAGACCATAACCAGTATTTGAAGTGATGCTCTATATTTGTCTTTAAGTGAGGAGGCCTATTTGAGCCTTAACTGCTGTTTGCTTCTCCCCTATTTGATTATGTGTTTTTGTTTGTCGCCTAGACTTTTATCCTTTTAAAACTTCTGAAAAGCCCCAACTCCCTCCCCTTTTAGGATTAATAGTCTCAATGCCTCCGGGACTGATAGGATCGGGACGGGTAATAGCATGCAATAAGTAAACGAGACCATTCCGCGCTTTAATACCTTAATGGGGCGGGAAAGGGTAGATATGGATATGATGACCACGCTATAACACCACGTGTATAAGTGATTACCGGTTGTTGTGTGGGGTGATCCATATTATATATAAACCTAGGACCCCCTCTCTTTTACTTGTTTATTTCATCGTTTTCAAATTTCTCAAACTATTTTTTTCCTCAAAATTCAGCTTTTCTTTCGTTTCTTTTCACTCCATCTATTTGCAACCTTTACGTGAAAAATCCCCTCTTATTTGAAGCCTTATTTGTCTATATGTTATTTGTACCTTAAAGTCACAATTGTAGCATGGCCGGGAACCACACTAGTGGATCTTGAGGGGTGCCTAACACCTTCCCCTCGAGATAATTTCAAGCCCTTACCCAATCTCTGGTTTTTCTAAATCAAATTTCTTTAATGTCCTAATGCACTTAATCATTAGGTGGCGACTCTTCTAAATTGCAAACCCAATTCCCAAAAGGAAAAGAGTTGTCCGTCCAAATGTCATAAACCCGATTTCGCGAGAAAAAGGGGGCATCGACAATGCCGCAACAATATTATATATGGATCGGGTTGCACACCGCAATAATATTATATATGGATCGGGTTGGACGATGCAACAATATTATACATGGATCGGGTTGCACACCGCAACAATATTATTTATGGATCGGGTTGCACGCCGCAATAATATTATATATGGATCGGGTTGCACGCTGCAATAATATTATATATGGATCGGGTTGCACGCCGCAACAATATGAAATGGGAGCGGGTGGTACGCCTACCACGAGATATAATGAAATGGGAGCGGGTGGTACACCTACCACGAGATATAATAAAATAGGAGCTGGTGGTACGCCTACCACGAGATATAATGAAATGGGAGCGGGTGGCACGCCTGCCACGAGATATAGGAAAATGGGATCGGGTTGCACGCCTGCAACAAGATGTGAAAAGAAAGTGAAATCTGCCTTCGTTTTCCTTATTCTTGTTAGTGGTTGGATTTTGATTCCTTATTAGTTCTCTTGATATTCTGTTTCTACCTGTCATTCCCCGAAGCATGTTTCCTCCTCCCATCCTTACTTGTTTATTTCTTCTTTACTTTCCGTTGTATATTATATAATTGCACAGGTTCATTTGGTGGTCTGGTCCTAGCCTCGTCACTACTTCGCCGAGGTTAGGCTAGGAACTTACCAGCACATGGGGTCGGTTGTGCTGATACTACACTCTGCACTCTTTTGTGCAGACCCCAGCGTTGTAGACTTTGGACCGCAGTGCGATTGCTGATTCTTGTTCATCAGGCGACCCGAGGTAGTCCTACAGGCGTCCGTAGGCCTTGGCGTCTCCTTCCATCTACTATTCCTGTTTCATTCATGTATTTCCAGAGACAATGTTGTATTTATTTCTTTCAAACCTTTATTTGTAGTATTCTTAGACCGTCTGTGATACTGTGACACCAGTTCTGGGTAGTCGAGGTTCAAACAGTTGTATTAGATATTCGTGTTCAGTTAGCTTATGACTTCTTTCTTCCGCTTATGTTAAATTTCGCTGTTTAAATGTTATTATTATTATTATTAGAATTGCTAATGAATATAAAATGAGGAAAAAAAGGTAAATTGTGAAATTAATTGGCTTGCCTAGCTCGTACTAGTAGGTGCCATCACGACTCCCGAGGGTGGAAATCCGGGTCGTGACACAACAACCAACAACAACAACAACAACAACAACAACATTAACAACAACATTAACAATAACATTAAAACCAACAAAGTATAAAGTTCAATAGAACTAACACAGTAAGCTAACCAAACTAAGTTAACTGTTATTACAAGCCCATTCGAAAACCGATTCTATTTGTCTAGTTCAAAGTGTATGAAAGTCAAGGATTGTTTTGTACATCATTATCATCATCGTCTGATGAACTTTCATCACCAAGAAGGTATCCAGAAGGGTGTACTTGTCGAGGACGTACGGGAAGAACGATCACGGGGAGGACGGGAGGAACGAGCACTTGGAGGACGGGAGGAACGAGCACAGAGTTAATGAATTACATTCATTCATCACTAGGTTAAAAGTCGATGAATCAATTATAACATATTAATTGATATAAGTCGAGACGTTTTGTTTTTAATATATATACATGCATCTGAGTAGGTTATAAGTCGATGAATCAATTTACAAGTGTATCAATACCTAAAAGAACCCGGCCCTGTGTTCCGAGCGCTTCATGTTCTTATATAATATATATAGAGACACACACACACGCTTCGTTATACTACTTTAACTACATATATAGCATGTTAGAGTATATTTTAGTGTATTCATCCCTTGTATTATAAAAGTGTTAACGGATTATATTTATATTATTTAGATAGTAAATACAAAAGTAATTTTTAATTTTGACCAATGTTGACCTGAAAAGAGATCAACTTTGGTCGCTAATTATCCAGAAATTAAAATTAGCGACCAAAGTTGGTCGCTAATTATCCAGAAATTCAAATTTGCGACCAAAGTTGGTCGCTAAATTTAAATCAGATTTATTTGTATTTTATATAATATTTAAAATAATAATATAATTGTTAAACATTAGAACTGGGTCCCAGATTAGCGACCAAAGTTGGTCTCTATCTGCTTCTCCTTTCACAAGCGACCAACTTTGGTCGCTAACTTTGAATTATATTTATTTATATTTTATATTTTTTTAAATAATAATATAATTATTGAAATTTTGTAACTGAGTCCCATATTAGCGACCAAAGTTGGTCTCTATCTGCTTCCCCTTTCGTGAGCGACCAACTTTGGTCGCTAATTTTGAATTATATTTATTTACATTTTTTAATTTTTATTAAATAATAATATAATTATTAAAATTTTATAAGTGGGTCCCCCTTTAGCGACTAAAGTTGGTCGCTAATTTCTGTATTTCTTTGACCAAGCAAGTCTGACCAGTCCGGTCAACATTTTGACAAAATTATCGACCAAAAAGCGACCAAGCTTGGTCGCTAATGTATTTAGAATAATTATTTAATTATTTTCTCCAATTTAGCGACCAACTTTGGTCGCTTTTCTTGACAGACCAACGTTGGTCGCAAAATTTTGGTTGCTTTTTTCCGGAATTCTAGTAGTGTTTTTATAATTATTTTTTATTTTATACTATCTTAAAATTCTTGAAATTAGTAAAATTTAAAGATCCGTGGGACTTACATCCCATGTCTCAAGGCTTACGCCTCGCCTCGTCAGAGGTAAAACGACTCGCCTCACGCCCCGCCTTGTAGAATATTGCTTATAACTAAACTAAAGATCCTTTTTTCACCTAAAATATGCTACCGTACCATCCATTTAATTAGCACAAGAACAAGTATAATCCATATTCCCTAGACTCAATATAATAATCCTAGAGAAACACGCCCGTCTCATATTATCTTAAGGTAATGCATGGACGAAAACAATAGTCGCCGTTAATAAGAAAAAGGACGGTTCGGTGCACAAAGTGTCCCATGTTCACGCAGGATCCGAAAGGGGCAGCACCCCTAGGGATGTGATGTACCTCAAGCATTAGTGGCTGCTTCCACAGCTTGAACCCTTGACCTATAAGTCACATGGAGATAACTTTATCGTTGCTCCCAGACTCCCCTTCTAATAGTCGCCACTAATGTATACTTTTTGAATTTATTATTAGAATTTAGAAGCGTGCAGTAAACAATTTTCCTTAATATATAGTTTCTAACAACACCCATAGGGTATATTGGACTTATTAATCGATGATTTGCAACTTTATATAAACCCTTAAAAAAAATTCAGCACAATTACATGACTTACGTATACACAAGTAACATTTCAGCATTAGATTACCCTATATTTAGATACATATATTCTAAAGCAAGGAAGAGAAGAGGACGAAGATAATGGCTACTGGAGTAGCTAAAATGTTGATGTTTCAGTGTGTCATGCATGGAATTTTGTCATTGTTTGACATGGATATTGAGAGGAGACCTTATCACAGATACTGCAGCTGTGCATCGCACAAGAAGAAGGAAGCATGCTCAAATAATACCTGTACTCGCAGTAGGAATTTGCCTTCTCCTCAAAGGAAAACATGGAACGATGCTATGTCCTTGTCAGTAACAGCGGCTTACCAATTGTTTTCTCCATCCTCTTCTTGTAGTAATTCATCAGTGATCAGTAGTACTATAGATGACTCGAGTGCGGGTCTAGCAAGTAGATCGTAGAACTTTTAAGTGTACTTTGGTTGAGGGAATGCACTGATGTCTCGTTAGATGGTCGTGGGACAATCATTTATCTTTTGAGCTTGAGTTACGCTCAAGGTCGATTCTCTTTCCGTTGTATCAGATTCAAACTCATCCATGTTCTTCGTTTACCTAAAATTAGGGTGCCCCTATGTTGTATTGCCTACGCTCCACCGGTCAGGTCTATACGTTTAGAGGTATTAGTTGTCCCATATTGATTGAGAGCGGTATTGTTGTTTTCTCATATGGTCATGAACAATTCTCACCTGATAATCTAGCTACTTTTGAAGTTGAGTAGATCCCACGTCCATTTTCTTTACAAGAACTCTAGAAATGCAGAACGTGCAAATGCTTCAATAAGGTGGAAGAAATTTGGAGTCCTAGCTCCATAGGAACATTTGAGGGATAAAGGACATTTAATCATGGGATTAAATTTGAATTGAGTTTATCCCATATTTGGTTGGAATAAAATCGTGGTATAAGTAATCCTGGGATTAGTTATCCCGGGATTGTAGTATTTTTTTATCCCTATGAGAGGGTGGGATAACTAATCCTCGGATAATTAATCAGGGATAACTTATTTTCCAGCCAAACGACCCCTTAGTAATAACTGGTTTTGTCCTCAGACCATAGATTTTTAGTCGAATATAAGTCACTCTGGATCAGAATATATATATATATATATATATATATATATATATATATATATATATATATATATATATATATATATATATATATATATAT